ACAGCAGGAAAAGCGGCATTTTCGGCTTCAGCGGGTGCACAAGTGTCATCCAGTTTGTACTTATCTGTTGAACAGCAAATGTATAATGTAAGGGACAGTCAGAATATTACGAGACAGGCTTTTAACACTGCAGAAGCTATCTCAGTATTTAACATGCTGAGAAGACAAGGTAATCGCGAAAGACTTGTCTAGATGTCTATGTTCCTTTGACTCCTTAGGTATTTTGTAGATGCTGACGGCCAGTGTGAACTTTAAATCAATTTATTGCGTATGTTTACCTATGCAGTAAAACCATTTGCTGTATCATTTAACGACACACAGAGTGAATTGTTGACCATGAGCTGATCTGACCTTTTCAGCTCCAGTAATATGCAGTAAGAGTATCTGGATCTCACTGAAAATGTCAGATGCATTCTAATATGCAACCCATCAAAGTTACGATGCATACAAACCAAGAACTGGTTAAGAATATAAAACTGTAACATCCGTGGTGCATCTCAATTGCTTAGATAAATTGTTCTGCCATCAATACGGGCCAGCTAAAAACATGCATTAAAAGCAATTCTTTGGAATACATGTGAGTTGTACAGCCACTTAGATATTAAAATGATCTTGAAAGCGGGGTGATAATACCAGGTTAGAATATTGCTGGAAAAAACAGTGACCAGTGAGAATACCAGTGCTCTACTTAATGTCTTGCTAGCTTCGTTGTGTGGTAATGTAAGATTAGTGGTCTCATGTAACCTCAAAATTTTCCTTTTTAATTTTAATAATTTGCTGCTTGTGAAGTTTTTACTCTTTCCAGAAATAATCCATTATATAAGCTGAGGTGTACTTATCAGTCTTACTTGTGTTGAATCTAGTATTAAGCATTTTTCACAGTCTTGTGCTTTTTTATGAAAAAGTCTACTTCTATTTTTAAAAGCTTTCTAAAAAACAATGCTGTTGTCGGTCGGTTATGGTGTTTAATGATGTTTAATTTCTTTGTTTTCTTCGTCTCATCTTCGAAGTTTCTGTTCTTGGTATTTTACTAGATATTCAGATCTAGGATAAATCTGTTTTTAGTAATTATTGAGGAACCATGAGACCAATTATTCATTGGTATAATTTCTGGATGATGAATTTAAATTTGGATTAAAGTGGATGGGCACAATGAAAAGCAACTTTGTATCCTAAGAAAATGGTATTTTGTTAGCTAAACAGTCTCAAGATTGTTTAATCTTAAAGCAGTTGTTACACTAAAATTAATTTGGTTTTTAATCTAATCATGGGTAGTTCGTGCAATTTGAGGCATTATTAACTGAATTGCTACTATTAGTAAAATGTTGTTGGAACTAGAATTAAAATGAACTATGGGAAGCATTGCTGAACGGATAACTTCGCATTAAGAGTAGTGTGTATTTTAAACTACCCAGTTAATGCTATTTGAACTGTTCTCGTGAGGCAATGCTGCCCTCCCCTGGTAAGCTACGGAAAGTAGGAATTTTTATCCCAGTCCGAGCAAGCTCTAGGGCTTCCTATTAAAGAGAAATAGCTGAATTGGTGAAAACGGTGGAAAAAAATGTTCTTTAAAAGACCGTTATGTGCCTTCTCTATTACAAGACCGGGAAAAAAAAAAAAAAAAGGTGGAACACAATTTGTGCAGTGCTTTTATGTATGCGTGGTGCAGATGTGGCTGAATGTACAAATAATATACAGGAATATACTTTGAACACACAAGTCAAAAAAATGAGGGCTGAATTAAATTTGCATGGCAATTTGGAAGATGTATTAAGACAAAATAAACAGATACCAGGTAGCTACTGAAAGTTAGCAGGACCAGTTACAATAAACTTTTGTTTAATAGTATAGTTTTGTCTTGTATATAGTGTTTAGAGATTTATCATTAACGTTTGCATGTTCAGTTCTGCAAAAGAAAAGTAAATGGGACCATGGCCAACAACTTGCACGGGAATAGGATTAGCTCTTGTGCAAATGAAGCTATAGCAAAACTGTCATCTTCTGTCAGGGGCTATTGGTTACAAAGATACTACACCACCGTAGGCTCAGGAAGTCCCTCCACTGCACACTCCTGAGAGCTGAGGAAGGTAGTCCAAGGAAATATTACTATTGCATCATCTATTCTGAATATATTTCTTCAGACATTTGTTATTAACTACTGCTAGGCAGTTTCACCATAGTCCAGATAGCAGAAAGAGATGAGTTCTTGTTTCAAATACAAGAACTTTAGTTCCCACATCTGACTCCAGTAAAGAGTGTGTGGTGGGGTTTGGGGTTTTTTTGTTTGTTTTTAAAGTATAAAATATCCCTTTCTTTTTATAATTAAGATTTTTCTAATTGCTGGACAACTTGCAAAACACACAACTTTTCTTCCTGTGGCATATGACTTCGGTTTTGTTTGCTTCTCATCCTTCTTAATGCATTGGAGATCACCTAACACTAGAGAAAACTGGAGAGAGTATGTTAAAATCTCTGGTTCGTGTATTTGTTCATGTCTTCAATGTGAACAGATTGCCAGATTCAGGATCAGGAGGGAGTTATTTTCCGCAGACTGGTTTGCTTGAGCACTTTGCTAGAGTGTGAGTTCTTGTCTACTACTTAGGGTCAGGGCACTTGGGAGATCTTTTTAAGAACTGTGGAATATAACAACATTCCCAACCTGACATGCTCTGGTCCAACATCATGTTACAGTGGTGGTGGCTGTTGATATTTTACTGCTACCTTTTATAATAAGGTCCTAGCAGTTGTTTTGTGTCTGTGGTGCCGGCCAGTCCACAGAGCAGGTGTGAACTGTTTTGAACTAGACCCCAGCTACTCAGTTACCTGTGACTGTGGCAGATGGGACCTGAAGATGCCAGTGGTCCTTCACAGGCTTCTGTTTCTAAAGTGACTTTGCTAACTGCAAAATAGTGGTATTTACCTTCATGCATGCAAGCTAGTAGGCTATAAAAAGCAATCCTTTTAAGAGCTAGCTGTAAAACCACTGCAAGTATGGCTCCACAATAGTTAAAAGTGAGCTAAACCAACACCAAGACCCCTCGTTCTGCCTTTCCCTTTGTGACACGCTGCCACAGCAAAACCAGTTTTATATGTTCTTTTTTGTTAGATTAGTATTCTGTCAGTGTAGCATCCCAACTCAGCTCATCAAATGGTTATGTGAATGGCAGTGGTGTTGTCCCTTGACCTAGAACAACTGTATGAGGCCTAAGACTGTGTAACAGTTTTCTTTCTTCTCCATAACTTTTGCAGGTATTGGGGCTGCTGGTGTGGACCCTGATTGCTGGAACAGAATACTTTCTATATCCAGCCTTTGGCTGGGTGATGTTTGTAGCTGTGTTTTACTGGGTTCTCACCATCTTCTTTCTGATCATCTACATGACAATGACCTACACCAGGATCCCCCAGGTGCCATGGACGACGGTGGTAAATACACTCATTCTTTGTTGTTTCAGGTTTGCTGGGTTATGAAGAGAATAAAATATTGATGCATTCTATGGGTGTAGTTAGCCAACTATACTTGTGCTTTTTGCAGGTTTTTCCCTTATTACTGTGTGGCTGTGTACCTGCAGTGTTTAACCTTCATACTACCTGGACGCTTTTAAAACACTTTTCCTATGATGTTTCACCATTTTGTCTAGCAGTCGATGTAGTGACTTGATTTCACACACACACATGTGCATGTGACTGATACTTATGCACAGTGGCCTCTTTTTCTCCCTGTCGTGATTACATCCCATGAAGAATGAGTCTGTTGCTGCCTCTGAGCTAACAGACCTGGCCATATGGCATAAACAGCAGAAATCCCTACTTGAGTCAACACCATGAATTGGAAGTGGGACCCTGGCTTAAAACATGAGTCTTCCTCTGCTAAAGTAAAATCAAAGGTGGTTCAGAGGTAGCAACAGTCTGACAATCCATATATGGCCTACTGTGAAAATGGTGCTGAAAATTAGTGTTATATATATGTAAAATACGTGCCATGTAATCCTTTGCTTTTAGCTCAAGACTTAATGCAAATCAGATAAACAGCTAATGTAATTACTGAAAAATTTCACAGGCTCTTAAAATTCAGATCCAGTTTTTGTGGTTTGAACAAACCTGGCTAGCTGTACATCTCAACAGTTTATTTTTACATGATTTTCGTAACAGGCTGGTGTTCAGAGTAATAGATCCCACAAGTCATTGGCATCTCAGCCAACTGGCTATTTGTGACCCATCCAAGAATTATTATAAATTTTAGCTTTGCATGTGTCTGATGCTGTTTTTTTTTTTTAACTAGCTAAAGATTATTGACTAGAATTCTGTTAATTTTATGATAAAATATATTTGATTTCTGTGTTGCAAACAGCTTGTTATCAGCTATATTGTGTACATGACTAAAACTGAATACTCTCTTCTTTTCATCTTCCCATTTGCTGCTGTAATAAATAGCCAGCTATAGCAATTACTAATAAGAACAACCAGGATTATGTTCAGATAGCTTTTCTGTTTTCAAGTTTCATGACCAGCAATTACCATTAAGGCTATAACACTGCTATAGAAATGTTGGATTATTTCAATTACAGCAGTAATGTGTTTGGGTACATTTAAAGGTGTGGGCATTTTTTCTTTCCCCATTGCATTAGATGTAAGTAAAGTACATTCAAAGGGAAAGCATCTTTGTATGCATTTAGATACAGCTTTAGTCATTACCCCTCTTTCATCAGTTTAATGCTATTATCAGACAACAGCTTCACATAAATGAGTTGCCCCTGATCCATGTGGTAGACAAGCTGAAGTATTTGATTTGTTTCTACTTCATATTGAGTGTATTTCTTGCTCTGAGTTCCAAACGTATTGTAGATAAGATCACATAAATGTAGGTCCAAAAGGTAGTCTCCTTTTATAGTAAAGGGTAATATGAAGAGAAAATAAATGCAAAATAAATAAAAGATGCTTGCATCCCAGCTTGTTTTGCCCTAGGGTATTGAAAGAGCTGTTGCGAACAGCCTTTGAATTGGACCTCTGCCACTCCTGGCTGGCCAAGAGGAACGTTGGGTCTCTTTTCAGAGAAGTGTTGTTAATGTCTTCAGTCAAGAGAGCATGACATACACCTTTTTGAGAGACACACATCTTTTTGAGTGACACACACCTTTTTGAGTGAGTGAGTTTACGCCCACCTTCCCCTTATTCTCTGAACTATCCTGAATTTCAGTCTCTGCTAGTTACTGCTCTGCCTCCTTAGGCAACAGTTAGCTCAAACTGTGCCTATTGTATGCAGTATCCAAAATTACATCTGGACTTCTCTGTCATAAATCCATTTTTTGCAGGTTAAGCACATTACCAAATTGCTTAAGATGCAGTTACTTTTACTGCAAATTAACCCAAAGGACGTGCTTCAAAACTGACTCTCCTTAATAGTGCAAATTCTTTGCTAAAACAATCAATGGAAGCTTTTAAAATCTGGTAAATTTGAATTTAAGAAGCAGATGGTAATTTAGTGTGAACCATTTGGGTTGAGTAATATATTGGCAGTAAAGGCCCAATCAGCTTGCACTGCATTCCATCTTCCCCAACAGTGTTATTTCCCAGAGCAGCACTTCTCAAAAATTCTGTGCTTTTTTTCTTTTCTACATGACAAGATATTGCAGGGATTTGTAGCTTTCCAGGGTAATTGAGTCTTTTTGGAATGGGAAATCTAAAAATAACAACAACAAATACTCTAGGCAATCAAATTTGGAGTTTGAAAATCAGTGCTTTACAGAAGTTCACTTGAACCTGCCAATTGTTGGCATCTTATCCTAAAATTGACAGTTTGATTTATTACCATAATGCCCAGATAAAACAAGAGAGGTGAGATCTGTGGATAGGGATAATGCCTTTTATTAGATCAACTGATATAGGTGAGATAAACCCCACTCATTTATAAGTGTATGAATCAAAACTCAAGTGCCAGGCCTTGGACTCCATCTGCGTGCTGAGGCACTGCCCACAGTTCCCTGTGGAAAGGTGGGTAACTGCCTCTTTTCCAAACATCCTGAAGTTGCAAGGACTTAGGAACCACAGGAGGACATGCATGCCCTTCAGCCTGCTCTGAAAACTGTAAGAAGGCTTTTTGCATGAGAAGTCTCATATAGGCAGTGGTGACCTGAAGACTGACGTGTTGACGGATGACAGCACAGCATACTGCTCTCTGGAGGGGCCTGCAGTTGCGAAAGCACGTGTTTGGGGAATGGCTTCCCTTCAGAAAGCTTTGAACCCTGAGTGGGCCAGACTCTACCGAGTCTGAAGTAAACTCTGCCAGAACCAAACGTCATGTGAGATTGATGTTATCTGCCTTGCTTCTTTCTTAGTAATGAACATAGGTACCCCGAGATATTAGCTCTGCTCCTTGGAAGAGAAAATGCAACATCTGCCATGGGTGGGTCTTGATGACCCATGTCGTCCATTCAGACTGTTCTCCTCCTTGGTTTTATCTATTTCTTTCTCCTCTCAAAAACAGGCAGTAGGGGAAGGTACTGAAAGGTGGAAGAATACGACTGAAAAAATTACACCCTCTTTATTTCCTTCAGAAGTGGAGAAAACAAAGTTTTGGAAGCTTTATAAATATTCTTCATATGCCACGAGTTATTGATTCCTACCGTGTATGTTTGTGTAGATTAGAAATGTAACTGAATTGCAGTTTTGTTTCTTTTCTTTTTCAGGTAGTGTCATATTCTTACTGCCTAACACTTAGATTGTGATAACCAAACTTTGTCCTTATTTTCAATTCTGGAAAATCACAGTACACCAGCTTTAAGACTCTTCTGGATTTAGTGTGATGGAGAGAACAGTTTGTCCAAAATGTGCTTTAATGTTTATCCATCTTCAAAATAAGCAGTTAAATTTTAATCTTACAGATAGAAACTTGGAAGAAGGTAAAAATAGTTAAGAATCACATTTCTTGTGTACATTGCATGTGTACATTTATATTTCAGAGGAGAGTTTTGTAATGTTGGAATAGAAAATGGTAACAAATGCATGTGCATATTAATTACTTATGTTGTTTGGCTTTCCAACAGGGTCTGTGCTTTAATGGAAGTGCCTTCATTTTGTACCTCATTGCTGCCATTGTAGATGCATCTTCAGTTACCAAAGAACTGGACAGTCACAATTACAACAGCTGGGCAGCTTCTTCAGTGAGTTCACTTTTTGTTTAAATAAAGTTATATCAAAAGAAGGCTCGCTGGAAGAGCACGTTGAAATGCATGCATTCTGGATTTTGAAAAGCTGCAGACTGTTGCTCACGCACAAAACCTATAGGTAGCTGTAATTTAGTTCATAGTTTTTGGAGGTGACTAGAAATTCCACCAGGAGATGTCAGTCACATCAGAAAAGGCTGTAATGTTTTTAAGATCATACTGCTTTTCCCCTCTCCTGCCCCCATTTATTACTAGCGCTCTGGCAGAGGTTATAGCCTGCACATCAGAGCAGACAAAACAGATTGGGTGAGTCACCAAGTCACCTCAATGCACTTGGACAACTTCAAAAGCAGTTTAAACTAACTCAGCTAACTTTGCACGTATGTGGATAAGGTGCATTCAGCTTTTTGTGGGCTGAGCCATATACACAGCACCTTTGGGAAGGTCCTGAAGTGGTATTGCTGTTTCTACAGTGATCTTCCTGTTACAGCCTCAAGTTTTGATAATCTTTCTTCTGAGTTGGGTGGGCGATACCTGAAAAATCATGTAACTTCCCAGTGTTTTAAAATGGATGCAAATCATTAATGATTCTGACATTACTGTCTTACTGCTTAGATTTGGAAATCCAAAGCAGTCGGTCAATGTGGGTAAAAAGCAACTTTTTTTTTAAAGAGTCTTGTCACTTTCCGAGTAGGTGAACGTATTCTTTAGCTAAGTTAAAGGAGTTGTAAAAGAACTTTTTGCATGTTGTGGCAACAGTAGTCAAATTCAATTGTATAGAGTAATTCCGAATTACAGCTACTTCGCTGACTGTTCATGCTTCTGCAGTTGTCCTTTCTGGACTATTCACAAATCCTGTCTTCTGTCTGAAGCTTTTTGTATACGGCCATGAACTTGTATACGGGCAGAGACTTGACCACCTGCTCTCTTTTTGTCCTGGGAATTGGATAACTACGTCCCCGTCACTTCAGTGACGTTCAGGGTCTTCTCCCCTTGGCAGTTCCTAACTATTGATCTGTTACTCAGCCACTGCTGTTGACAGGAACTTGCCTGCTGCTAGGTAAGCTTCCATGCTGATTCAGGTTTTATACAAAATGCATGAATGCTCAGTGTCTCATGGGATGTTTGGAATCTCTTCTAATACCTCCTAATAGTGTTTATCTAATACACTGTCTAAATAAACTATTAAATGTAGATTCTTGCTTTCTGAACCTATTAAGGGTTTCATGGATGGATGTTTGTGAGAATTTAGCAAATCATCTATCCCCAACAGTCATTCTCTGTTAGAAAGATTTTGGACAGAGCTTTTATTTCATAAGAAACAGAATTATTGGAAAAGAAGAATGCTACAATTTTCTATTGTATTAATATTTTACATAATCATCTATATTTACATCAACATCAGGTTTTGGTGCCACAGATTAAATTCACATTAGACAAGACTCACCGAGAGCATTCTGTTGGAGGGCTTAGATTTGCTGCCTGTATGCATGCGTAGTAGTGCCCTGCTCTCAGAGATGAAGTGCCTGCCCAGGCCAATGATGGTACATAAGCAAGAAACATTGGTAGAATGCTAAAATATTTAGGCTGGAAGGGACATCTGGAGGTTTTCTGGTCCAACTCTCTCCCCCATTAAAGCAGGGCTAACCCTTAGCAGGCTACCAGGGCCTTGTCCGCTTGAGTTTTGAGTATTTCCAAGCATGGCTATTCCACAATGCCTCTGGGCCTCTGTTGCCATGTTTGATTACTCTCATTGTGATTTTTTTTTTTTTCCCTAGTATCTAACTGAAATTTCCCTTCTCATAAGTTGCGTTTGTTCCCTCTTGTCCTATCACTGTTCACCTCCAAGAAAAGTAGTGTTAATCCTATTTGCAGTGTCAGCTTTATTTGGTTCAGTTACCAGCACAAAACATTCTGGTCTTATCATAAGACCATTTTGAACATTGTCTATTTTGAACAACATGCAGTGATTAACAGGAATTTAACCACTGGCACTGAATTGGACTTCATCAGTACAACTGAAATAGTTCACAGCTGTTCTTTAGTTTCTGTGTGCATATGCTGCAAGGACTGCAGAAGCAACACCACTGATACTGTGTAGTTTTAATCTTTAACCATAAAATAAAGCCTGCTACAGAGGGTTTATTCTGTAATCAGTTTCTGACAGAGCAGTGGTATCTCAGTGTGGTTGCTGTCACTACTTGCACTGAGGAATACTTTTATTCATCAGTAGAGACCGTCTGGAATTGGTAACCTCATCGGTACTGCTGTTTGACAACATGTCTGGGCCTGCATTTGCATCCAAGTTTTCTCTGTGAACAAGCTATTTTGATGCACAGTGTGCCATACTGAGGTACAGGTGGGCTGTAGGCAATTCCTGGAACATAGCAGCAGTGCAGGAGTGTTAGCTTGAGCTCACACCGTCCCATGGACTATCCCTCAGTCTTTACCAGCAATTGATGTTCCAACCAGTGAGTACAGGGTTGGTGGGAGTCCAATCTATAAGATCCATACTGAGGCAGCATAATTTGGAGATGAGAGTTGAAATACGCCATGTTTTGTCTGCTTCTAGGCCCATATTTCTATGCATAATATAAGCTTGCTTACACAGTGTTGACTGTGATGGCCACAAAAGTACAAGGTGAAGGAGTGCCATTTTAGTCAGCCTGCTATTTCTCCTTTTTCCAAATCTCATAGCTGCTTTTTTCATAGAAATTACAGCGCTCTCAAATATATTTTTTTTCCTAATATATTTTTTCCCCCTCTCTCTACAGTTCTTTGCCTTCGTGGTTACCTCCTGCTATGCTGGAAATGCGTATTTTAGCTTTATATCTTGGCGATCACGAACTTTGCAGTAAATATTTTGTTAAAATGAATTCTGTAGTATAAAATATCGTGAGGATTATACTCTTTTGACAAAAGCTTGGAAGAGGAATGAGGTCTTTTTGAACATTTCTGCTAGAACTGACACTATATTTTAAGCTGAGATTAAAATGATTATTTATAATACAATACCATCTTTAGAGACATCTAACACTGACTTTGTACTTTATAATAAAATTTCATACTGCTTATTTTAAAATTAACATGGTATTTTTCTAGACATTGTATAGCTGTTATTACTAAAGCTTTAATAAATCTTAACTGAATGTGCAAATTTTGTAAATGTAACTTTTTTAATGTTATAGGTATACTTTTGATACTGAATGCTACAAATCAAAACTGGTTGATACTGTCCGTTATTATGTATAAGAAGTGACATTGTGCAGAAAAAAAACATCCCAAACTGTAAAAATAAATAAATTAATAAATAATTGACCCAACTGTGCATGTTTTGTAAATTGGGAGTAGAAGGTTGCTTTTTAAATTTCTTTTTCAGAGTAAAATATATACTGCTAAGAATTCTGATGATCCTGCCAGTTTGCATATTCTCACAATCATGAGATTGCTTTTGGAACCTGTTACTGTAGGCCTGAAGCTCACTGAATGTTGCACCTGAAACACATTATCTTAACAGGTTTCTCAAATCCAGCAGGCTCCAAGGCATAAGTCTAGACAACAGTCCCTTAGTGTTCAGTGTTTAACCTACTGAGAATATCACAAAACACCTATTTAAGGTAATACATTTTGTTTCTCAGGGGACTGTGTTTTTCTCTTTTCTCCTCAGATTAGGGCTTTAATCTGTCCCAATTAAAATCTGGGCTTCTAAATCCTATTAAATGATGTAAAGATTAAATCCGTAGAAGAATTGTCATGACACCAGTCTTAGAAACAAAGAATTTCCTCCCTCCTTTCCCGTCTACTGGATTATCTGTGAGTTGTTAGTTTAACAAATGAAGTTTTTAATTTGACGCTCATATTTAAATATCTGTGAGTCAAGCAGAAGTATGACAGGAGATTATGACTTTCAAAACAGATACCTCTGAAAATGACTTTCAAATACAAATTACCTAAGGAATTTTTTCCAGGAATTATGTGGAGAGTGTAAGGTCATGATTATTTTATGATAGTATTTAAAGTTTTCCTCATTTAAAACTACTGGTAAATCTTTTATTCCTGGATTGAGAAGATCTGGACTCTCCTCCAGTCTTCAAAAACTTAGTTGGACGATTATATATGGTGGTAGAGAAAACTTACTGCTTAAAAAAACTTATTTCTCCCTGTAACTAAATGGTGTGTGCTTACTTATGTGCATGCCCTCTTACATGTATGCCCTGCAGCAAAGAAGATTTATCAGCAGCCAGCTAATTCTGTTCTCGATCACATTGTTTTGTTCTTTATTATCTGTCGGAGTCACAGGATTTCAGTGTAAGGGAAGCCAAGATATTATTTAAAAACCTATATTTGTCTGCAGATTGCATCTGGCCTGTACAACAAAGGTCAGGCTGTCTGCTGCTTGCTAAAATTATCCAGTTGTGAGAAGGAAGAAGGGCTACCAACTATGCATTTTATCTAGACAGATAAAATGTGTCATTGAAATCCCATATGCTCTTTTCCATTTGGAAAAAAATCAAAGGCATAAAAATGATCCAAATGTCAACTGATAAAATGTGACTGGAAATATAGCCAGAATTAAAATCTCATTGGTGATTTCTCATCAGTAAAAATGCTTTTGTAGTAATAGAAATTATTTCTTAAATGATATTTGATGTACCTATCTTAAGTCCAAAGAAAGTGACTGTGTTTGCACAAATGTTTCATGATTCTGTGATAACTGCGATGGTCTGGTCTAAAGTCATAACCCAGACAACATTTGTGGATAGAGGTAGTAAGAGGGAGTAATGTGTTTCATCCCATTTACCAAAAACTGTCACGGAAACTGTGTTACATGTCAGAATAAACCCATTAATGAAGGACAAAACTATGCTATTACCAGATAAGGAACAATTCTGGCAAAATATCTACCACCTCCCTGAGTCTTCAGTGCTGATGCTCAAGGGAAGGTGTGTGGAATGTCTTCCAAAGGCAAATCTGTGAGTTGAATCCTTAATTCCAAATTTTAAAAAATACGTGCTAGGCAGAAATTTGCTTTATGCTTGGCCTTGCTTTTTTCACAAATGATGGCTTATCGGCCTTGCTCTTTCATTTTAGAAGGATAATTATCTTACTTCCCATGCTCTTTCTCATCTGTCTCATTTCTCAGCTGTTCCCCAGGTACCAACTATTTTTCAAGTGTTCTGAATATCTAGTTAAAATTGGAGGAATCAGTACAAGCTGAAAATTACTTCTGAAGTTTGCTCCTCCTATTTCAGGCCCAAAGAAAGGCATAAGCACCCAAAAGGTTGTCTGTTTCTTCCAGCGCATTAGTCTTAAATAACTGATTTGCAAACTATGACTTACACCTTTGTGTATTCTAATATTGATAAAGAAGATAAGCGAGCTGTGGTTTATCATCTAACAAAACAAGATTAGTAGCTGCAGGCATTGCTTAGTGTTCATAAGATTGAAAGAAACTTTATTTAAAAGAACAACATGATGAAATCATTAGTGAAATTCTTAATACAGATATTTAGAAGAATAAACAAAATGCTAATCAACTTGCAACATGAAGGTATTTATAAATAACTTGTTCCAGACAAACAGTCTCTCTGAAAAATCTAAGTGACCCACGTACATAAGGATACTTGATGTCAACTTATGGCCATTAAATCTCATTTATCAAGTTGTCGGGACCTCTCATCATCATCATCATACATGATGCACTTAACAAGATGAAGTAAATAGCATGAGAACTGTAATAAAAACTTCAAATTCAGCAATGTATTAGACTGACTTTGTGCCAGTGGTTTACAGAAGACGCCTGTATTTCTGAGTAGAAAATATGACTGTTATTCTACTTGTATTAATTTAAAGGTATTTGTATTTCACTGGGCTGAATTCAGATCAGCAGAGCACCAACCGTATACAAAGTTTAAAAAAGAAGTTAAGAGCTAAAGAAGCTGAATCAGCGGGTAAGACAGATATATTTCTGAATGGGAAGTACGGAAGTTACTAGAACCTTCCTCCACAGAAGGAACTTTATAGGAAGAAGCCTATAAATGTGCATGCTTCTGAACTTGGAATTGTAAGAAGAAAAGAGGGGGAAAAAACCCAGCTGTTTTTAAAAAAAAAAAAAGCTCTTTTTCAGCAGCTAGCATTTTAATCTTGTGTAGATTGGCAATGTTGTAGCTTAGATATCTAATGAAATGAGATAAAATTTGGTGGGACAGGCAATATATTCTATTAAGCCAGCTAGTAGTTGCAATAAAAGCCCAAAACTATGTACTGCTTAGTCTATTACAGACCATTGCCTACACTGGCAAACCCTGTCTTGCTCATGTAAATAACTTAGGCTAGCCCCTTATTTGTGTTGGAGATCATCTGAACTTACCTGTCTTCCCTCCTAAAACAATTTTAGTTGCTGAAGGAGCTATTAAATACTAACTATGAACAGAATGTGCATCCCAAGTGCAGAACAGAGCAGCAGCAGATGGAGTTACTACTCTAATGAGTACAAAAGCAGCATAAGCCCAGCTTGGAGGCCGCTATTACCTCACTTGTCAGAAAGCAAAACAAGTTATTTTTAAACTTGAGGAAATATATAGTTTCCTTTGCCGAGTTTTGTTAGTATCCCCGCATGATTTAATTCAAACGTTTGGACAGTCGGTACAGTCTTGCCTGTGGCTGCCCATTTAATGCAAATGTTTTATCTTTTACGAGAACACGAATCGGAAGGTTGGTTGTTTTTTTTTTTTTTTGGCGAGAATAAGCGTTGTGTGGGAAGATACTGTTTACAGCTGTACCTCCACTGCGAAGCACCGGAGCAGCTCCCCTCCAAGAACATCGCTGGCAAACTTTTGACACGCCGAGGGGTCTTTTACCGTTCGAGTAAAACTGCTAGCCGCTGCGGCGGCCGGTGCAGTGCGGGGCTCCCCTGCCGGGACCCCACAAGGTACAATGAGGCGTCCCTCTCCCTGCTTGGAAACGTTCTCCTCGGCCTCCATTTTCATGTAACCCAGCTGCAAGAGGGGGACGGCCGGGCGTC